CTTGCTTTGCCGTGCCTTTTCGGGAAACGGAGCGGATGCGGCTGAACAATGGGAAAAGAGGGATGATGCGTGCGCGTGGAGATATATCGCCGCGAGCACGGGGTTTGCCGTCCGGTTTTCGTTTGTAATGTCCGCCCGGCACGAGACGGGAAGTAATCGAGCTAATCGGAAGCGACGCCGCTGCGCGGCGGTTCTTATCAGACCGGGGGGCAGTTCGGGTTTCAGATCTCTCGTGAGAGAGGTATCGTGTGTTTTAACGGGTCTTTATATATTCGGGCCCTCGAGAGAGACAGAGAGAGAGAGAGAGAGAGAGAGAGAGAGAGAGAGAGAGAGAGAGAGAAAGAGAGAGAGAGAGAGAGAGCATTGTTAATATCACATCCTTTCTCGAGGTTACCGCATCCGCTATGCGCGAATTCCCCCGCGCTAGACAATGAAATATTACCGGACATTTAACGGCAAAGCGCATGCCCGCGTAATCCGTGGCCCCGTATGAATGAAAAGCGAGTGCGCCGGATAGATGCCTTCGCTTCGCCGCGATAACCTTCGCTTTTCTTAACATGCCGCAGATTAACGCGCTCGTCTCGATCCCGGACGTTTAATACCCCTGCCGGTAGATTCCGGTTCCACTTTCTCTCTCTCTCTTCTCTCTCTCTCCTCTCTCTCTCTTCTCCTCTCTCCTCACTCTCTTCTCTCCTCTCTCTCTCTCTCTCTCTCTCTCTCTCTCTCTCTCTCTCTCTCTCTCTCTCTCTCTCTCTCTCTCACTCACTCTCTCTCCTTTTCTCTCCATCTTCTTCTTTCACTTTCATTTCCTCGTCTTCGCTTTTCATTCTCCCAACGGCGCGGTGACCGCGGCATGCGACTCACCGATTAATACATTCTACACCCTTTCTCGCCTCTCCCACCCTTATCCGCGTTCCTACGACACGAAGACTGCGATAAAGAAGACGAACGAAACGAACAAGGCTCCACGAGCTTCGTCCGAGATTCCGGAACGTAAAAGGCAGCGCGGAAAATCGCTCCTCTCTAAGCTACCGACAACTCCACCGCTCCTAATCGCGCACGTGCACGCGCGCCACGCCGTTGCCTCGCGACGGCTTGTCGTCGGCGTCGAGTCCCTCTCTCTCTCTCCCTCTCTCTCTCTCTCTCTCTCTCTCTCTCTCTCACTCTCTTTCTCTTTCTCTCTCTCACACACCCACACACTCTCTCTCTCTCTCTCTCTCTCTCTCTCTCTCTCTCTCTCTTTCTCTCTTTCCCTAACGAGGATACCTTTACCTATACTACGTCGATCCACTTCCACGTCTTCACGTCGACCGGATCCACCTCTGTCGTGCAGTCGTACGGCGTACTCGTCGTGACGGCGCAGTAATGTCCAAACGACATTGTCGTTACAGTCGACGGCACTCGTGGCTCGCGGTGCCCTCGCGAGATCGCGACGCCCCGTCGTCGACTCTCGGCTCCTCGTTGCCACGGGACGCGGCGCGACGCGGAGGTAGAGGCTTCATTACGTCCAATTCCATGCCCTCTCTCGCCGGCACTGCGAGAGATGGGTGTCGCGATTACGTGCGTACGAGCCGACGCTGGGGATTACGCGGCGCGTGACGATACCGCGCGCGTCGTGCACTCTCTTTCTTTCTCTCTTTCTCTCTCCTTCCCTCCCTCCCTCCCTCTCTCTCTCTCTGCTGCCGCACTCGCGCTACCGAAACTTGGAAGCTCGCCGCGCGATCACACCGCGCCAGAGAATGAGGTGGCGCGTGTAACAGGTGTAACTAGCCCGGAGCCGAATCCTGCCGCCGAGCTGTCGCGGAGCAACAGTTTTCCAACTCGGAGAGTCGTCCACGGCGAAGGACGACGACCCTTCGTCGGACCCTCCGCCTTTAGAACTCACTCACTGAACCGACACCTCTGCCGTGCCTACCGGCGTCGCTCGTCTACCCCCGTCTCACCCTTTCCGTCTCACTCGGATACTTTCTCACTCTATCTCACTCTCTCTCTCACTCTCTCTCTCTCTCTCTCTCTCTCTCTCTCTCTCTCTCTCTCTCTCTCTCTCTCTCTCTCTCTCTCTCTCTCCTTCTATCCTCTGCCTGTAGCGCTACCCAACGCGTCGCGACGCGCCGTCGTTGTGCTGTTGCCGTTGCCGCTGATGATGCGTGCACTCGCGCGTATCGCAGAAACGCCGAGATTTCGAAGGCCGGTTCCACCCTCCGTCACCCTTTCCCGAACGCGCACTGGTCGATCCTCCAAGATCGTAGAAGTCTCGAGAGGAGAGGCAGAGGAACGCGCGCGGCGCACACACGCAACTCGTGTCGACCCTCCCCCTCTCGCCCGTCCGCTCGCCTTCCTGCTGCTGCTGCTGCCGCTCCTCCTCTTCCTCCTCCTCCTCCTCTTCCTCCTCCTCTCTCTCTCTCTCTCTCTCTCTCTCTCTCTCTCTCTCTCTCTCGTCCTACTCCTCCACCTCCTCCACTCTCCGTCGAACCTCCACTGTCGGCTCCCTTTTTAGGACCTTTTCGCGGCGGAGAACGAAGATGAGATACGGTAGAGAAAGAAGGAAGGGGTGGTGGGTCGCCCGAGAGGAGGAGGACGGCGAGAGCGCGAGCGAGCGGGAGGGTAGCGCCTCGAGGAAGGATTCGCGAAAATGTCTCGACCACCAGCGGCAGCTGCGTTCCGAAATGAGGAGCGACGCGAACGAGAGGTGGCGGCAGCGGGAGGGAGGAGATGGGTGCACGGAGAGACAGAGAGAGAGAGAGAGAGAGAGAGAGAGAGAGAGAGAAGGGGTCCGCGAGGAGAACGACGGAGGGCGCGAGGGGGTGTGAGGTCACAAAAGTGGAGGAAGAAGCGTAACGGCGAGTGCACGCAACACCGACGCGTGCGGAAACGTGCGCCTTCCGCGAGTACCGGAGCTCGCCCCTTGACGAACTAACCGAAAGCCGAAGAAGGGGAAGTCGGGGAGAAGAAGGGAGGGAAAGGGGGGGTGAGGTGGAGGAGGACGCAGAGGAGTACGCCGACGTGGTGGACGAAGGGGTTGCGGAGGAAGAGGAGAGCAAGAGGAGGAAGCGAGGAGGGCTGGTGGGGTCGCGACGGCAACGGAGGGGTTGGCGGGAAGGAGAGGGTGGCAAAGAGGCAGAAGGGGGAGAGAGAGAGAGGGAGAGGGAGAGAGAGAGAGAGAAGAGAGAGGGAGAGAGAGAGAGAGAGAGAGAGAGAGAGGAGAGGAGAGAGAGAGAGAGAGAGAGGTGGACGGAAGGCCGTAAGAAGAAGAAAAGAAGGTTTCGGGCGGCGGCCGGGTTCGCTCGGTTGTCTGTGGTCAAGGCACACAGCTTGTGCAGTATTCTCTGCGCGTCTGACGCTGCCCGCCTGCTACGCGACGGCGACGGCGACGACGACGTCGACCGAGGGGTAAGCGCCGTCGACGTGGAAGGGTGACGCGAAGGGGTCGCGCAGAGGCTGTCTCGCGAGCCTGATTTCGCCGCCACCCTACTCTACACGGGAAATTGCACGCGCGGCGCCTAATTCTTCCCGTAGCTGCTCGCGACGGTAACGAGAACGTCGCGGCGATGGCAGCGGCGGTGGCGACGACCGGCGGCGGGGCGGCGGCGGCGCGGCGGCGGCGGGGTACGAGAATCCACCCTCCCGACTCCGTTCTTGTCTGAAATCGCGGAATTATTCAGCTCCGCGACGCTGTCCCACTCTCGACGGCGCGTCTTATTTCTAGACTTTCGGACCTCGTGTTATCGTCACGAATTTTTGTATTCTCGTCCCTTTTTTTTTTTCTCTCGCACGTTCAGCTCGCCAAGCTCGTCTCGCGACGAACGCGCTCTGAATGAGACTGCCGTGTCGAGGGGTCGTCTGATCTTTATATAGACCGAGCATCGATTGCCATTCCCGGAATGAGAAATAATTGTCTATTTGCATGAGATTTCCCTCGAACTCATCTGCGACGTTGCTATCATAGGCAGCTAAGTCGCTCGGGCAGACAGTGAACTCTCTTACGCAATGTGTGGTTGACTCGGTATCGAAGAAATACGCTCCCTGTGTGATCGAAATGACGAAATAATTGTATTCGAATTATGACACATGGCGAGTGACACATGCGCGCGCACGCCTGCACGCGCTCGTGCGCCGTCTGATTGCATAACGCGACATTATGTAACACACAGTGCAATCGTCATATATGAGGTATGACATCCGACGCGGAAGAGTCATCACTTGTGATCACGGACGTATCAGAGGAGGAGAGAGATATCGTCTCCTAGCGTCGCGCAACACGCACCGAAAACTTAAAACCGCACGGGAAACTACTAACGGAATATTATCGGATTTTCCGGCAACGTGGTACCACCCTGTTGAACGTGCAGGCGCGAGTAGGAGTCACGCCTGGCATATAGTCAGCCAGGATTCGGCGTTTCGGTTCGCAACAGGTCTCAACCACCAGCGTGTTTTCTCTTTCTCTCTCCCACTTCCTCTCTCTCTCTCTCTCTCTCTCTCTCTCTCTCTCTCTCTCTCTCTCTCTCTCTCTCTCTCTCTCTCTCTCTCTCGCTCGACCTCCACGTTCACACACTGATACAGAACTCACTCCTACACTATGTATCCTCGACACACACACACACACACCACACACACACACACACACACACACACAGAGAGAGACTCACCATGCTGAACGTAGGCAAACGTACGTACGAACATACACCCACATACTTCTGTCGATATGTACAGAACTCTCGTTGCGACTCACACATACATACATACCCACATCCACCCACGTAACAAGCTCGCTGATGACACGCCTCTCTCGCGCGCAACCTGCGTTCGCGCGAGCTACTGCGGACACGCGTGTATGTCCCCGGTCGAAGACATTTCCTCTCGCGGACGCATCATACGCACGTATACGCACCCCCGTGCGCTACCAATCTACGTTTGCAGCACGCTTACGTACGTAAGTGCATATGCACGTACATACGCGACGCGACTGGCCGCCAAAGAGAAAGACTCGACTCTTCACTCACCGACTACGAAGACCATATTCTTTGTCCATCGCAGCAGTTCCCTTCGGATGTGTCTGCGTTCCTGTATGCAGCGGGCATAGGGGCAATCCGCCATTTTTGAAATCACATCTTAGGATGTGTGTGCGCGTGCCGGCCGGGTGCGCCTGCCTCGTGTTCCCGCGTGGATGTCCACCCCCTCCACCGCCGGCGCTCCTCCGTCCTCGTCGTCGTCGCCGTTGTCGCCCTCGTCGTCGTCGTCGTCGTCGTCGACGTCCTCCTCCTCCTCCTCCTCCTCCTCTTCCTCTTTCTTGCACTCCCTCCTACCCCTTTCCTCTCCTCCGCCCCTACGACCCTAGTTTCCCTTCCGCGTCTCTTTCCGATTTCCACCTTTTCTACCCCTCGTCGCTCCCACCACGTTGTTGTTCCCCTCCTCCTCTTCGTCCACCTTCTCCTCCAGCACCGGCGTACCTGTGTCTTTCAGCGCGCCTCGTGAGCGTGAGACGTGCGTGAGGGAAGAAGAGGGTAGCGCGCGTGTACACGTCGCCGCGCTAACGTGCAGCACGCTGCCGGGTACAACGTCACGCGTGACGTAGCGAGTCGGCAAGGGAGGCTGGAGTCAACGTCGTCGTCGCCGCGGCCGTCGTCGTCGCCCTCGTTGTTGCTGCTGTCGTCGTCGTCGTTGTGCTCGTGGTCGTCGCCGTCGTCGTTATCGTCGTCCTCGTCGTCGTCGCCGTCGTCGTGGCCGTCGTCGTCGTCGTCGTCGTCGTCGTCGTGGCCGTCGTCGTCGTGGCCGTCGTCGTCGTCGTCGTCGTTGTCGTCGTCGTCGTCGTCGTCGTCGGCGTCGCGTCGGCGTCGGCGTCGGCGTCAGGTACCGCCGGTGTGGTGGTAGTAATAGTTGCAATGGTAGTAGAGGTGGCGGTGGTAGTGGGAGTCCTGTCGTCGTCGTCGTCGCCGTCGTTTCGTCGGCCGTGGCGCGGCGCGGCGCTCCTACGCGAGCGTCGGAGGGATGGCGAGTCGGCGTCGGTGTCGGTGTCGTTGGCGGTGGCGGTGGCGGCAACGGCGGCAACGGCGGCGAGGTAGGGATGAAGCCGCGGAGGGACGACGACCACGCTACTCCTCCCAGGTAGCGGGACAGGGTTAGGGCACAGAAACGCACAACACACGTGCACGCTTGCGCCCTGAGCGCTACGAGAGTGCAGTCTGTCGCCGCCGGCGCGTCCTCTCTCGCTTTCTCTCGCTTTCTCTCTCTCTCTCTCTCTCTCTCTCTCTCTCTCTCTCTCTCTCTCTCTCTCTCTCTCTCTTTCTATCTCGTTACTCCTCTCTCACCCTGCCTGCGTCCTCCCTCCTGCTTCTTCCTATGCGAGAATGTGTGTGTGTGTGCGCGCCTTTCGTACGCCGTGGTCCTCTCTCGTTCTTTCTCCCCCTCTTTCTCTCTCTTTCTCGCCCTCGCTCTCTCCCTCTCTCTTTCGTTTCTTCCGCCGAATTTTCCTACGGCACTCGTTTCGCCCACCTTTCTCGCCGTCCTCTCGCACGAAGATGCTCGCAGCTCGCCGCACGGGAACCGTCACCGGTTGCTATCTGAAACAGAGACAGGAAAAGGCGATCGGTCAGTACCGTCTGAGGATTCACGAAGCTAAGCGCGTCTTGGAGATGATACTTTTCTGTCCGCGACACCGTGGCACGTTATCGCAGAGTATACATACGTGATATATAAATATATATGTGTATACATATATATGTGTGTGATATATAAATATAAATAAAAGAAAATATATTATATATATATATATATATATATATATAAATACACACTCTCGGAAGAGACTGAAGAAGTTAAACTTCCGCCGTCCTATTTATCCACGCATCGATAACCTCCGACGCGCCTATCCTATCTACGACTACGCGCGCTGCAGCGACGAGACATCGCGAGTCCCCTCGCCGATCCCGTCCCGCGCACCTGCGTGCAAAAAGCGGAGAGGGCGTCCGCCGGCCCCATCCCGAAACAGGAAGGGTACTGCTGCTGCTCGAAATGAAACATTGCCGGTAAGAAGAGCGTCAGAGCTAGCGGTGTAGGTAGGTAGGTAGGTAGGTAGGTAGGTAGGTAGGTAGGTAGATAGGTAGGTAGGTGGATGGGTGGGTGGTTGGTGGGGCGGCTTGCACTCTCTCACGCGGTGAGGCGACACGAGCAGAGAAAGAGAGAGAGAGAGAGAGAGAGAGAGAGAGAGAGAGAGAGGAGGTGGAGGAGATGCAAGAGGCAAAGGAGGAGGAAGAGGGAGAGGCGCAAGCGGTGAGCGCGGAAGGGTGGCTATAGGGGCGGATTCGCGCGTTCTACGCCCGCGAGGGGGCAGGTTGCCTCTGCGAGGCGCGACGGGGGTGAGCGCGGTAAGCGAAGAGAGCTGGAAAGAGAAAGAGCGAGCGAGAGCAAGATAGATAGATAGATAGATAGAGAGGAAGAGAGAGAGAGAGAGAGAGAGAGAGAGAGAGAGAGAGCGAGCCAAAGACAGAGAGAGAGAGAGAGAGAGAGAGAGAGAGAGTGTGTGTGTGTGCGAGAGAAGGGGAGGGAGAGAGAAGGAGAAAGAAGGAAGAGTGCGCCTAATATGCAACAAGAGAAAAAGAATTGGCGATCAATAGGTAGTAGCTGGTAAGCGTCCTTTCATCCGCCCCCGCGGACACCTCGTCCTTTCCGCTCTCCCTGTCTTCCTCTCGCGACCCACCTCCTCTCGCTCTCGCCTCCTTCCGTCTCGGCAGTCTCCATCCTTGCGCCATCGCCCCTCTTAACCCACCCTCCCGTCGCTGGCCACCTTCACCCCCTACCCCCTTGCCGATTCTCTCTTGGGTTCATCGCGAAACTCCGCCACTCCATCGTCTTCGTACAGTCGAGACGTCCGCCCTAGTGCGCGCCTAAGTTTGTCACGGTGCTCGAAGACCAAACATCACCTAATTAGCTGATTATTTCTTTCCTTCTGTTCCGACGCCCCCCGATGATTTTATTAAATCCGCCAGCGTCGCGTCGCCGTTAAATCGATGCTACCGGATACAGTCCCGGTGGAAAATTAACGAAGGCCGGACGATCTCGTTTCATTTCTATGAACATTTTTAACCCTCGGTTGATTTAAGTCGATGTTCATATGCAAACGAGTCGCGGAGAGACACAAGTATGCGCGAAGGATCATTACTTAATATTCACGTCGCGATCATCATCTTTAAAGAGTCGTCATCAAAGTTCCATCGGGACAAAAAAAGAAGAAGAAGAAGAAGAAGATGACGAATAAAAACATTTAGAAGTCGTTCAGAGCTACACGAATCACTCACGCGTCTCCGGCCGCGCAAATTAGTTGGGAGGGGGGGAGGGGGGCGGGAAGGAAGCGAAAATTCATTCCGCCCCGAAGGATTAACGATGAAACGACAAAGATGCCGTCGTGAAGGGGCATTTATTCCCTCGGGCCAGTTTGTCCGCGTTTCCAGCGGTCAGTTGACCCAAAGCGAAATTATACTCTACGTCGCGCACAATAATGAGGAACAAGTACGAGGACACGCTGGCTCGCGTACCCCCGGCAGCGGTCACGTGACGGGACACGAGCGTGCCGAACGTCTCTCTCTCTCTCTCTCTGACATCTTTCTTTCGCACAGGTGCAATTTACTTATACCGGATCGAGCAGAGAACCCGTCGGTATACACATCGCTCCGATTCTGCGCGACGGCGCGCGAGCGCACATGCGGCCGTCCGGAAGGAGGATACTGCATATTTTATATTCGGTCGTGTGCCGAACCCTTCCTCGCGCCCGTCGCCCGTAAATTCACCAACTCCGGCTCTCACCTGACTTTGATTCGATCGCGTTTCCGAGGAGAGGCCCCGCGTGATTTCGCCCGGGCGATTTTGCAGCACGCCCGGCATATTACATAAACGCGTCTTCCGTCGCGATTAGACGGGACGGCGACTCGCGCGACGAAGATCCCCGGGGAGGAGGGGGGGGGGAGGGTGGTTGAGCGGTTACCCTTTTTATGATGGAAGAGGAAAAAGAAAATGGAAGAACAAGTTGAAGATACAGACGTGCCTCGTTATGCCACGAATGGGCAAATCCCGTCGCTTCCCGTGTCACAGAAAAATAACACGTTGATATCCGCCGATTATACCGCTCGGAAATATCCACGGGGGCCGCGCGCGGTTAAATCCGACGTCAAATTGCAATTATCTCGCATTCGCGCATATCACCACCCCCGCGACCCGCGAAGACGCGAGCCCGCGGCTCCCGCGATCGGAAATTCGCGTTAACCGTAGCACGCGCGGCTAGAATAGAAGCAGCGGAGGACACACGCGAGGCACGTCTTTCGTGCCATCGATTTTCCCGCGCGACTCGACGCGACTCGACGCGACGCGACGCGACGCGCGACGCAGGATGCAACAGATCGAGGATGATCGTATGTTGGGCGCGTATGTACACGGCGATCGAAGTCGCTCGCTCGTTCGCTTGTTCGCTCGCGCGCGCGCGCGCGCGCGCGCGCGACCAACGACGTTCCTTAAAAGCATTTGATGCCCGCGATTGATATTCCGCTCGCGTGTGCTCGTCTCTTCGTGGTTCGCAGTCCCGGGGTTAACTCGGCTCGCGATACTGCTGACGGCATAAGATCGATTTGATGCCCGTCCTAGGTAAGCCTATGCGAACGATATCGATGAAACGCGCCGGGCTTTCGAGCTCGTACATACACACACGCTCCGCACTCGCGGCGATGTGCATGCATACCGGGTGCCTCCGAGCTCTCTCTCTCTCTCTCTCTCTCTGTCTCTCTGTCTCTCTGTCTCTCTCTCTCTGTCTCTCTCTCTCCCCCGTTTTCCCCGTCGCTACTCTCCCCCTCCCACCCGCCGAGCCGACGTCATTGAACCTTGTCGCGGGCGCGCTTGATGAGGGTAGGTAGTCTCCGACTAGGAGCTTCCGCTACCTTGGCAATTAGTTGGTCCCATTACTTACGAGCGCGCGAACATACGACCGCAACTTTCGTCAATTGCATCGTCAAGCCTGTTCCCGCCTGCGGCCACACGCTGCTGTCTTCGCGCGCACGCACTACGCTACGCTTTCGCCACGGTGTAAATGCGCGCGGATGTACGCGCTCGAGTTCCCCACACGACGTCATTGAACCCACCCTCTCTCCTCTTCTCCCGTCCCTCCCGTCCGGAACGTCGCCATGGTCGATGCTTCGGTCTCGGAATTAGGCACTCGTCACTCGTCATATAATATGTCGGGAGATTTGACGAAAGATTTGCGAGTCAGGCGTCTTGTGGCCGAACGCGGATCGAGTTTCACGGGGGAGAGGCGCGAGATACTATTGAATGCCTCGTCACATAGAAAATTCGCGGAACGAAATTGGCACGGCGGAATTGACGGCGGAAGGATTGATGATGATCGTAAGGCAAACTTCAGACGATGACATTTCCACGGGGGATCCCCGTGGCCGATCGCCGCTCTCAAACGGATGACGCAAATCATTTCGCAGGAGCGAAATCTTCCAAAAACGACTGCCGCATTCTTCGTGCACTCACTTGGCGCAGCCTTCGATATCTTTCAGTACATCTCACACACACTCTCATCGTTATATATTTATAGATATTTCAACTCTCTCTCTCTCTCTCTCTCTGTCTCTCTCTCTCGCACGCGACAGCACGATCGAGCCTGGAACCGGCTGAGCGGAGGAGATGAG